TAGCATTTCCCCAGAGCATTTTTGGCATATTGGTAGTGAACATAAGGACACTTGCTACTTCTAGGAGGTGTTTATTTTTCTGCTCGACAATTTCATTTTGTTGGGGGTGTAGACACAAGAACTTTAGTAAATTATGCCATATTTTTGTAGATGGTCACGTAGATTGGTATTGAAGTATTATATCCCATTGTACGTTCACAAAATTTGAATTTTCGTTTGAAATTGTGTTTGAATCATTTGATGGAAGTTGATGAATACGGATCGTACATCAGATTTTTTCTTTAATAGATAAACCCAACAAACCCGGATATGATCATCTATGAACGTAACAAACCTTTTGTATGAGTTCAGTTAGGGACACGGCAGGGACCCCGTAAGTCACTATGAATTATCGTGAATGGTCTTGATGGTTAATCTATGGATTTTTGGAATTTAGTGCGTTGGTTTTTCTCAAGTTCACATACTTGACATTAGAAATCAACAAATATTTTATTCAGGAAAATAGAAGGAAATATAGGTCTTCAATATTGCAAATTAGGGTGACCCATTCCATCGTGTCATAATAGAATATTATTTTCTCTAGAGACGAACATAAAATCACAAATTTCAGTTTGACAATGTTTACCACATCAGTGTCATCAAAGTAGTGGTCCCTCACATTCTTTAGCATTGTCAATCGTTTTCCTTGATTATCCTGAAATACACAATGAGAAGGGGAAAATTTAGCAGAGTAATTAGAGTTTTTTGTTATTTGATTGACTGACAAAAGATTACATGACAAGTTTGGGACATGGAGGACGGATTTTAGAGTAATAAATTTAGAGATACGAATACTTCCTTTTTCGGCGACAGTTGAAAGTGATTTGTCTGTGATCTTAACTTTGATATTGTCCGCATAGGGTGAATATAAAGAGAATAAATGATAAGCATCTGTTTTATGATCGGAAACACCTAAATCAATAATTCGGGGTGTTTTATGATTTGATGAGACATTTAATGCTTTCAAGAAACTACCTTTGTGGGCTAGTGAGCTCAAAGGGCCTTGTGTGGAAGATTGGCCTGATGACTGAAGGTTGGAGAAGATTTGATAGAGTTGTTCCAATTGCTTGGGATTAAATGCTCCATTTTTTCTTCTTTGGATTTTCTAGCTTGATCAATCAAAACTTTATAGCCACGATTTTTAATATTTTATCTTAGTTTCCAGTCGATGGGTTTGCTGTGTAAATCCCAACAGGTATCTTCTTTATGTCCTGGTTTACAGTAGTGTTCACAATAGGGTCGTCCCTTTTGTTGTTTTTGGCCCGATCCATGCCAACGCTTTTGATAATAAACCTATAAGCTCAGTATTTTTTGTATGCCCTAGGTGACATAACATGGGCGGCCCACATTGTGAAGACCCATGCCCAAAGTTGAAGACCCTATTTTGTTCCATTTGAGAGGACCCAACATTCAGCCTAACACCGTTCTGCCCAACAACAAAAGATCTAGCTTGTCCAAATTGAGGAGATACACCTTTCAGCCCAAATCGTTAAGGCAATGCAGCTTCGATTCCTTTACTCAGAATTGCAGACATCTCCAAATCTCCGATGCTGGCTGCTCTCTCCATCATTACTTTTTGCCGGTTTTCCTCCTTTCTCGCTTCGGCGAACATCTCTCGTGTGGTGGATAGTGGCTTTCGGCCTCAATTTGTCCTCGAACATCATCTAAGTCGTGATTGAGGCTAGCCAAGAATTCAAAAACTCGTTCATTTTCAAGCCTTTTTTTATACTTCATGTTGTCACCGGGACATTCCCACTTTTATTCATAACCGAAATCTAGTTCTTTCCCGAGGGAAGACATTTCCAAGTAATAATCGGTGACCTCTCTCTCCCCTGTTTGGTTTTCCATAATCTCGTTTTGATCTCCAAGATTTGGGAGGAATTTTCCGTATCAGATTACATTTCTTTAACGGCATCCCAGATGTCCTTATGTTGAGAGGAAGAGTTAAATTTTTCCTATGGATGGCAACATCGAGTTCACCAATCGGGCTGTAACCATGGAGTTTTCAAATTACCATTTAGGTAGATGAGCAGTGTCGGTTTCCTTGTTGCTCCGATCAGGTAGCTCAATTTTCCCTTGCCATCAATTATCAATTTAATTGATTGAGTTCACTGCCTATAGTTTCTCCCATTCAATTTTTCTACTGTGAGTTGAAAGGAGTTCTCTACGCCAGTTAATCCTATTGTATGGGTGGTTTCTGTCAAGAAAATTGTAAATTGTATATAATAAAGTCTTGTGAATATAACAAATGAGATTTCAACCTCACTATGCGAGAATTCCGACGTCGTAGAACTTTGACTGTTGACGGGTACTTTTGTCATTGATTTGTTAGGCTTTAGAGAGCCTGCTCTAATACCACGAAAGCAGAAATATAATTTGTATTTTTGTGTATTTTGAAATCATATTATAGCCGTCATTATATAATATAATGGAGAGAGAAAAATGGAAAAAAATCTCCCAAATTAGGAGAAAAAATTAATACTAAATTAACTATCTTAATTACAAGTCTAAAGCCCCGTTTGGTACATATTTTTTTTCAAAATGTATTTTTCTCTCTTCTTTTCAACCACACATTCTTTATTAAAAATAATATTGTATGTAAATCAAAAAAAATTTCTTATTTTTCAACCACACATTTTCCATTAATTTACTATTCAAAAATGCATTTTTACATAAAAATGTCTCCCAAACACCCCGTAAATAAGGTAATATGAAATAATGGTAATTCGTATAATCTTCAAGATTTCTCACAGTAAGCACGCTGACCTATCATTTAAACTGTATTGCTGAATTCTCACCAAATCTATGTAAATTTTAGGTCTTGGGTTTGGAGAGGACGATTGGCAATGCTGACGCATCTCTACCTTCCCAGAGATGATTCTTCACTTGAAAGACAAGTTTAGACAACAAGCTGTGTGTCATTTAAGAGTCAATTAGCAAATTCCTTTTGTAATTCTAATAACAATAGTGTAGTTGTGGTACTATTGCATAGGTCGTCCAAACTTTGTGTACCTAGAAAAATTGTTTCCCTCGCTATTTATCAATAAAAATTCAAAGCACTTCCATTGTGAAATATGTCAACTTGCCAACATACTTGTAATTCATATCCTGGCCAAAGTTTTCATAACCATTTGCATTGATTCATAGTGATGTATGGGGACTATCTAGAGTTAAAAATTTGACAGGTATTAGGAGGTTTATTTCCTTTGTTGATGATCACACTCGACTCACATGGATGATTTTCGAAGAAAGTGACATCAAGACTCGTGAATAATCTATTGGTGATAGGATCATAGCATTTATATCCCTTTTGTAGAGGTAAATACCCAATAAATAACACTTAACTGCACGAGGTTCGAGTTTATTTCAATGATGAGTGTGTGTAAAAAAGCTGCACATCCAAACACTCTTTGAGGTAAGTTGGAGCTGAAGCGAGAGTTAGGGAAGAATGTCTGGAATTTTTAGAGAGGAGTTTCGAAGTTATGGGTGCAAATAGGCTTTTTGTTTATGAGATAGGCTGATGTTAGGATGGCATCACCCCAGAAAGTATTGTTTTCATTGGTGGTGAACATTAGTGTCAGAGCTACTTCAAGTAGGTATCTATTTTTTCATTCAGCACCTCCATTTTGTTGTGGAGTATCGAAACAAGAACTTTGGTAGATTATCCCATTTCCTTAGAGGTAGGTTTTCAGGGTATTGTTGAAATATTCTGTACCATTATGTATGTGAATTTTTGTCTAGAATTGAGTTTAAATCATTGCATGGAAATTTATTTACACAGAATGAACCTTGATCTTTTTTTTTTTTGAGCATATAGACCCAACAGATCCGAGTATGGTTGTCAATAAAAGTGACAAACCATTTTGCATAAGTGCGATTGGGGTTCGTAAAGGTCCCCATAAGTCACTGTAAATCATGCGAAGTGGTCGAGATGGTTTGTACACAGATTTTGGAAATGAAGAACGGTGATGTTTTGCGAGTCCACAACTTTCACAAATAAGTTCAAAAGATATTTTATTCAAGAATATTGAAGGAAACACGTCTTAAATATTGAAAACTACGGTGTCCCATTCTACAATGCCATAAAAGTTCACTATCCCAACTAGCAAATTGACGTTGTTCACTCACATTAACCTCTTCAAAGTAGTAGAGTTCCTCACACTTTTTAGCACTGCCAATCGTCTTCTTTGATGATAGGTCCTAAAAGACATGGGAAGAAAGAAGTTAGCTGAACAATTTGAACTTTTTGTTAATTGGCTAATGGATTGCATGATAAAGTCGGGACATGTAGTACGTGTTCGAAAGTGATTAATAATACTTCATTTTCCAGCTACTGGAGATAGGGAACCATTTGCAATTTTAACTTTAGGATTGCCCATACACGATCAGTAAGAAGAAAATAAATGGTAGGAGTCTTGTCATGTGATTGAACCCACCGGACTCAATAATCCATGGTAGTTGAGTGTGGTGATGTTTAGGGCTCTCAAGAAATTACCTTTGTGGGCTAAGGAACTTGACGAACTAGGTGACTAAAAACTGGAAAACATTTTGTAGAGCTGTTCTAGTTGCTCAGGACTAAATGCACCGTTCGGAGTAGAATTTTATATTTCAGTAGAGTTAATTGTAACTTGATAGTTGTGATTTCTAGTATTTTCTGTCTTGGTTTCCAATGGACGTATCTTCTTTATGTGCATGTTTCCGTCAGTGGTCACACACCATGGACGACCCTTTATTTGTTTTTGGCCCGGTCCAATTTTAGGTGTTCCTCTAGGCATTTGAACTCCCAAATAAGGCCCAATAGATTTTGGCCCATCATAAGAATGTCTTTTAAATCTAGCAATAGCCTCATTTGGTCCATACCCACCTATCCCAGTTGGCCCACTAGATTTAGGCCCAGACAGCCCAATTGAATCCAAAAGAAGGGTCGATCCTTCTAAGCACACTAGACCCATTCACAATAGACGACCCATTCTTCAGCATGATTTGCCGATGACTTTTCTTACGTCTGACCTCAGCGAAGACGTTGATTGTGGGTGGTAGTGGTCGCGACTAAGGATACGTCATCTCACGTCGTCCAGCTCCCGGTTCAACCTAGCCAAGAATTCGTATACCCGTTCATTCTCTACCCTTTTTTTGTATCGAGCACTGTCATTGGGGTAGTCCCACTGTTCATCAACGTTGAAATCCAATTCTTGCCAAAGGGTGGTCATTTCCATGTAGTAATCAGTGACGTTCCTTTCTCCTTTCTTTGCCTGCCACTATTTTGTTTTAATTTCAAAAATCTGTGATGAGTCTTCTGCATCGGAATACATTTCTCGAATGGCATCCCATATGTCTTTCACAGTAGTCATGAAGAGAAAAATCTAGCCTATTGATGGCTTCATCGTGTTAACAAGCCTCATCATCACCATGGAATTTTCAGATTTCCATTTCTATTGGAGGTTTGCATCCATTGGCTGTTTCACATCTCTGGTAAGATAACCAATTTTTCCTTTCTCGTCGACCGCCAATTTGATGGATTGAGCCCATTCCTTGTAGTTTGTACCATTGAGTTTTTCCACGGTGAGTTGGAAGGAGGAACTATCAATTCCAATTGAATGCACGGTGGTGACAGGGTCGGCCTCACTGATTTCTGATTCGGAAAAAGACTGATTCCTTACAGTTAGCTGTGTTTTCAGCCATTGATTGTCAGTTTTAGTTTTTCCCGACCATATGGACAAAGTGTGAGAAATTTTATTCTTTATTTCTTAATATGTTTTCAATACAACCTGCCTCAATTTATACACAATAGATGGTTGTAAAAAAGGAAAATAATACTCTAAGGAAGAAAAAATCTTTCCTAACTTAATGATAATTATACCATAAACATAAAATACAATAATCCCACAATTGATCTAAGATTCCTACAGTTTTCCTTCATTCAGAGAATAAGAATAACAAGAATTCTCTCTTAGTATTTTACAATTGATTTTATTCTTAACTTGACTGAACTTTAGTGTTAGTTACCAAAGTTGACTTCTCGAAAATAATTTTGCAAAAGCTGCGTTTTGCTTTCTGTTATTCAATACTTTAATTCCCAATAGTTGAATGTCATAGTTTGACTTGGCTATAGCAATTCACCTGGGACCGGAAACATGTATATTTAGTATACACTACATCAACTTGTACCATATCTTTGATTGGCACATTTCAATAATCTTTTCATTCCAGACCAATGATACAAGAACTCCGAGGATGTTTATACATTCTTTTGATCTATTACATTTTCACCTTATGATATATTTACAGAAATTTTTTATATTAGACTAGCATAAATTTGTTTGCTTCATCATGAATGTTGTTTTCATTGAATCTGCAGCGGGAGGCCTTATATGTGCTGCCTTTGCCAATGCTGCTGATATTGTAAGTTTGATATCAAAGAACGGGATGATTAGGGGCATTCAGCAGTCGTTATTGGGTTCCATATTGGCAGATATGCTTTTGGTGCTTGGATGTGCGCTCTTCTTTGGTGGGTTGGTTCATCGACAAAAAGAACAAAGATTCAGTAAGGTAGTGGATCACACTACTCCGACTAACATGTGTACTTGAAACCTCAATGAAGTGGACTCTTTCTTCATGTTGTCAACTTTGTCCATGAAGCCGCAATCCACTGTGACTACCTGTGTACTGGCCTGAGCCCCAGTAAAGAAATGCTAACATGTGTTAAAATGTTTCAGGTAGCTGCCCATATGACCTCAGCATTATCATTAATGGCCTTCATGGGCATTTTATTTCCATCAGTGCTGCAGTTTACACATACCCAAATGCATACACTCAAGTCTGAACTAGCTCTTTCACGAATTAGCAGCTGTATAATTCTGATTGGATATGGAAGCTTTCTTTTCTTTCAGATCAAGAGTAAACCAATTTTATATATTTCTGTAGATGAGGTGAGTATCTAAGATCTAATCTTTGTTGCTACGCATGAAATTCTTAGAGTTCACAACGTTACCAAAGTTGGAACTCAATTGGCTCATAACACATGCATTAGCCAAAGCATTGTATGCATTAGCAACTATGCATTTGTGTTGAGAATCTTGATCAAATCTGATAAATTCGGATCTGATTGTTACCTAATTTTTAGGAAAAGTTTGTTGTAAAGTCTATCTTCTAAGATTCCTCGAAATCTAGATGTATATATGTAGATATAGTTTGTTTTGTTGTAACTTATCTTCTACTATAGATTTAGTTTGTTGTGATAAAGCTTATCTCTGGGTCATTGTGAATAAGCTTATCTCTTGTAATCTATCTATGAAAGGAAGATTGTTCCCTTATTCATAATAAACACGTCACATTTTTTTTTTTTTTTTGGTTTGATCATAGTCCATAATTTGATTCACAACTTCTCCCTCATTTATCATAGGCGAAGGACAATGGTGAAGAAGATTCTGATGAGGAAGAGCCCCGGGAGATTACCCAATGGGAAGCAATAGGTTGGGTTGCTATTTTGACATGTTGGATGTCAGTTCTGTCTGCATATCTCGGCGATAGAATACAGGTTGTTACCACATTCCTTCCAACCTCTCTCCACCCACGTACCCCCACCCCTCTAAAAAGAAGACAAAAAAGAAAGGGGTAAATTAGCATAAAACATTCCTATCATTTTATATTTGGCATTTACAACCTCATTTAATCCTTTTTGCAAAGTTGATCTTTTTTGTCCATTCTATTAGGTTCTTATGTTAAATGGACACATGTATTGCATTTGCATCATAAGAAAAGGGTAATTTAGTAAAGCCACTACTTTTACAAAGTTGAGTAAAAATTTCTTTAGATGAACGATTAGCTCTCTCAAATAATGAATTGTACTATTTTCACTATGTATCAAATAACCATTATGAATTGTACTATGTTCACTATATATTAAACCAATATTTAACTATCACCTAATCCAAAATCATTCATATAAAAATTCGTAGATATTCCCAAGCAAACATATGACAAAAAATGAAAAGTGGTATAAACCAACAATAGATAGAGATCAAGGACTCCTATTGTCTAGTTGTTTGAGTCGCTAACATGTGGATCCCAGGCCAGTTTGTGTCCTATCCTTAGTGTCCGATGTCTTCAGCTCTAGAAGTCACTTCAATTGCGTCTTGTAAAAGCAGCAGTGGACTTAGTTTGTGATGATTGTTCCTCTGGTGCGGTGACGGTGTGAGAAGAGGAGGCTGTTAATTGTGATTTATGTTGGTTGATGCTTCTGGTCCTGCTAGTGGTGGCGACGGCGACGGCGACGGCGACGGCAGGAGTGACGATTGGTTTTGCCGATGTTGGTCGATGGTTGTAGCGAGAGAAGGGATTGTTATGGCAGTCTTAATCGAGTTTTGGTGTGAAGGGAAATTTTGGGTAGTGGGTTGTTTTGTATTGTGATTTATGAGTGGTTGTTGGACAGTGGTTGACATAGATGTAGAGGAGACAGTGGCAAACTGGGATGTGTTGAGAAATTGTTCAAAAATAAAAAAGTTTGGCGTTTGGAAAAAAAAAACAAAAACAGATGAAGGCCAAAAAATTTGGCCTGTGCGACCGCACAAGAAAAATGTCGTGCGGCCGCACGACTCTCTCCAATGAATTAAATCCCCCATTTAATATAACCACGCGGCCGCACGGTATAAATTTGTGACCTTTTTTCCCCTTTTTAGCCGTTGCCAATTCAAACTTTGTGACTTTTTGGCTCATGTTTTGGTACCTTTTCATGCATTTGAGACTTGCCTATAAATAGTGGATCTCTATTGAAGGCAAATTTAATTGAAAAACATTTGAGAAACATTATCATTCCAAAACAAAGATCCAATTCTGATTTTATTCATACTCAAAAGCCCTCATTGTGTTCTTCAAGTTTTGGGAGATAACACTTGTGCTTTGGTGTTATTCTCTTACAAGACTTGTTATAATCCTACGATCCATTTGCCAGCAATCCCTTGAAGCATCCCATACAAAGGAGAGGGGTCGTGTTCAAGCCTTCGGTGTTACATTAATTTGTTCGCGATCACTTTGTTCCAGATTTGTTGCAGTATTTTGTTGCAGGTTATTAGTTGTTATTCTTCTCCTCTCTTCATCAATTTCCAACATTCTCAAACTGTAATTGGGCAAGGGAGAACGAGACAACTTTGGCAACAATCAAATTAATGAATCAAGATTTCGTGCGGTTGGACCGGTTCGATGGAACGAATTACACGCGATGGAAAGACAAATTAAAGTTTCTTCTTACTGCACTAAAGACATTCTATAATCTAGATCCGGATTTGGTGCCACTACCAGAACCAACAAATGGAGAAATTGAAGCCGTTAGAAATGAAAGACAAAGCGCCAAGAAGATAAACTTATTTATCGTGGTCACATTCTCAATGCACTTTCGGATCGTTTGTATGATTTATATACAAACACAACATCGGTGAAAGAAATTTGGGAAGCCTTGGAATACAAATATAAAACGGAGGAAGAAGGTACCAAGAAATTTATAATTTCTAAATATTTTGATTTTAAGTTCTTGGAAAGTATTCCCCTTCTACCCCAATTACATGAAATGAAAGTGATTGTCAATAAGTTGAAGGCGGTAAAAATCAAAATACCAGAGACCTTTCAAGTGGGGGCTATAATTGCCAAACTTCCCGGAACTTGGAAAGGATACCGGAAGAAAATAATGTATAGTTCCGAAGATTATTCTCTGGAACAATTGCAAAAACATCTTCGGATTGAGGAAGAGTCGAGAATGCGTTACAAAAATGATTCTCATGAGGGCACTTTCAAAGCAAATGCTGTAGAGAAATCCAAACCGCCAAAATCCAACAAAAGGAAACCTTCAAAGAGCATTAATAAGTTCAAGAAGAAGACTAAAGGAGGATGCTTTGTGTGTGGAAAATCTGGACACTACGCAAAAGATCGTAGACACTGAAAACACAACATCTCCGAAGGTAATGTGAATTCCATCCAAGAAGAAAGGATTGTGGCCACCATAAGCGAGATAAATGCTATTAAAGGAAAGGCTCCCGGCTGGTGGTATGATACTTGTGCCACGGTACATATATCATATGACAAATCTTTATTCAAAACATACAATGGAGTGGATGGAGACCAAGAGATCCAAATGGGTAATGAGGTGCGATCCAAAGTGATTGGAAAAGGAAATGTAGACATTGTTTTCACTTTCGGGAAAAACGTTACTCTTACAAATGTACTACTCGTTCCGGATATGAATAGGAACCTAGTGAGTGGAAATCTTTTGGGAAAATCGGGCATTAAAAGTGTCTTTGAGTCCAGTAAACTTGTATTATCCCTCATCGAAAAATTTGTTGGAAATGACTATTCTTGTGAAGGAATGGTCAAGCTATGTACTATTAACAATAAAATAAATAAAGTTAATTTTGCTTACACGGTTTATTCCTTTTCTTTATGGCATGTTAGATTGGTCACATAGGTAAAAGTATTATGAAACGTATGAAAAGTTGTGACTTAATTTCTTATGATGGAAATGATGCCATAAAATGTAAAACATGTGTAGAATCAAAAATGGTTAAAAGGCCTTACAAAAGTGTTAAGAGGACCTCTAGTATATTAGAATTAATTCACTCCAATATATGTGAATTGAATGGCATGCTAACAAAAGGTGGAAATAGGTATTTCATAACTTTCATTGATGATTATTCTAGATTTACATATGTCTATTTGATGAAACATAAACATGAGGCCTTTAATATGTTTAAGACTTATAGGAATGAAGTTGAAAATTACTTAGACAAGAAAATAAAGACCCTAAGAAGTGGTAGGAGTGGTAAATACTTTCCTAGTGATTTTAATTCATTTTGTGAACAACATGGCATAATTCACCAAAGGTCTGCACTTAGAACACCCGAACAAAATGGTTTGGCTGAAAGGAAGAATAGAACATTAGTTGAGATGGTTAATGCCATGCTTACTTATGCTAAGTTGCCATATAATCTGTGGGGTGAAGCCTTATTAAGTGCAAAAAGAATATCGAATAGGATTCCTTCTAAACATGCTAAGATTTCTCCTTATGAATTGTGGAAAGGAAGAAAATCAAACATTAGATACTTCAAAGTGTGGGGGTGTCTTGCCTATCGCAAGAACACGAACCCAAATAGGACCAAGTTGGGTCTAAGAGGCATAAAGTGTGCCTTTATAGGATATGCTAGTAATAGCAAATCTTATAGGTTGTTGAACGTGGAGACCAATGTAATAATTGAATCAAGTGATGTGGAGTTATTTGAGAATTCGCTATCTTCGGATAATTAAATAAGGGAAAATCAAATAGATATCCCTAGTGGAACACAAGGTAAAACGTCTTCAAAAGATGTTGAAGAATCAAGTGAACCACGAAGAAACAAAAGAACTCGGATTGAAAAGTCTTTTGGACGGGATGAAATTGATTCTCAACCTATTTCCTTTTATTCAATAGAAAGAAATGAGATGAATGTTGAAAGAATAATTCCATTTGTTCTGCAAGTTGAAACCTATCCTAAAACATATAGGGAAGCTATGACTTCTCGTGATAGCATGTTTTGGAAAGATGCAATTAAAGATGAAATAGATTCAATTATGTCAAATAATACTTGGGAACTTGTCGATTTGCCACCTGGGTCCAAACCTATTGGATGTAAATGGGTATTTAGGAGGAAATATAACGTAGATGGTACCCTAAATACTTTTAAGGCTAGATTAGTAGCCAAAGGATTTCGACAAAGAGAAGGAATTGATTATTTCGATACTTATGCTCCGGTAGCAAGAATAACATCAATAAGGATTTTATTCGCACTCGTATCAATTTATGACTTGCAAGTTCATCAAATGGATGTCAAAACGACATTCTTAAATGGAGATCTCGATAAGGAGGTCTATATGGAGCAACCTAAAGGATTTGCTCTACCTGGAAATGAAATAAAGTGTGCAAGTTGGTAAAATCGCTATACGGACTAAAACAGGCACCTAAAAAGTGGCATGAGAAATTTGACTTAGCAATTATATCATTCGGCTTCAAACATAATAGTGTGGATAGATGTCTATACTCTAAAATATGTAATGATTGTGTGACATTTATTTGTTTGTATGTTGATGATATGTTGGTTATTAATAATCACATGAACGGAATAAAAGAAACAAAGATGTTTCTATCTTCCACATTCAAAATGAAGGATTTTGGAAAAGTGGATACCATTTTGGGTATTAAAGTCACAAAGACTAGTGGGGGTTATTATCTAAGTCAATCACATTATATTGAGAATGTGATAAACAAGTTCAAACATTTGAACGTAAAAGAGTACAGTACCCCAATTGATCCGATCATGAAATTAATAAAGAATGATGGAAGGGCGATTGCTCAATTGGAATATGCAAGTGTCATAGGAAGTCTTATGTATGCAGTACAATGCACAAGACCGGATGTAGCCTATGCAATAAGTAAACTTAGTAAGTTTACTAGCAATCCGAGCAATCAACATTGGAAGGCTATTGGAAGAGTTCTTGGATATTTAAAGAAGATCAAGA